GGCCTTCCCCCAGCAGGCCATTCAGGGCTGTCACAGCCCCCTCAACTGTCACAGTCGAGCGTCACCAGACTGCCCACTCCCTCTTCTCCTGTTTCCGCCCCTCTGATGGGCTCTGCTGGGCTGGGGTGCTGGCCTTTGCAATCTCCTGCTGAACTTCACCTTGCACAGACAGGTAGTGTGCACCAGCACGTCCATCCCCCCTGGCTGGGTGGCCCCTAGCCCTGGTCTCCTAGCCCTGGTCTCACGTGGGCCAGAGGGCCAGGTCAGTGTGCAGAAGGAGAATGAGGAGGGCCAAGAACCACCGCAGAGGAGAGAGCATCTGTCCCAAGACCCAGAGTGCAGGCCAGTGAGTCCCCTGCTGGCCTCCCTCTGGGCTCTGCTCTGGCCTCCCTCGACTCTGCCAAGAGGCCTGAGAGTCAGGCCATTCTGAGGGAAGAGGGGACTCTAGGGAAGGGGGATTGGGTAGGAAGTGAGATCCTGTGGACGCTCCCAAGGACTCAATAGCTCAGTGTTCCCTGCTGACACTCGGGCCCAGGAAGCCCAAGTGGGGCAGGGCAGGAGAGCCTCCCCCAGGGAGCAGCTGGGGCCAGCATGGCAGGGTGGAGTCAGGCCCGGGCTCAAGGGCAGATTCCAGGCTCTGATTCTCCTGTATGTGGGTCGATCTGGTACTCTTGAGTCTTAATTTTCTTGTCTGTAAAATGGGAACATTAATTCCTACCCCAGGCAGGGTTTGGCACCATTAAAAGGAAAAGCGTTATAACCGTCCTCAGTGCCTTGCTCCTGTTAGAGGCCAACAAGGGCCCCTTCTGCTCCTCTGCCCCCATGAACTGGGACGGAGACCCGGGGGCTCCGGAGCTGGGGGAGTCCTCGGTAATGGCCCTGCCTTGCTAACTTCTTTGTCCACAAATACTTTAAATATTCATCCCACACACACCAAATATTTATTAATTGGCTATTAAGAAATACTCATTGACTATTTTTCTAATATTTCCGAGACACACATCTTCTTTTCTGCGTATAGTCACAGGGACATTTGCTGTGAGCGCTGTTGACTTGCACAATTTCTTTTAGGAAACACTTCCTGCTACTTACTGCCCTTTAGAGTTCAGTGTGAGATAAAGAATTCTCTGCTAATGACCCTAACAAAGGACTTGGACTTCGTGGTGGTGACATAATAAATCTGCGACTTCCCCGGGGTGCTCAGGCGGCTGGGTGAGGTGGGGCCACCAGTCAGACTGGAAGCCAGGAAGTCTCCCACCAGTTGCACTCTCTGCTCTCTGGGATCAATTCTATGGCAGGAATTCTTGGCAGGAAGAGGTGAGGCAGAATCAGGCCCAGTTGTCCCTTCACCTCCGGCAAGTCCCACAGAGCTACACTGGGCCGCGCTCCGGCCTGGGTTCACATATCACAGAGACGTGCTCAGCTTCCTGCCCTTGACTTATCAACACAAGCAGAATCTCTCTCTTTCCTCTGGTTAATTAAAAGCAAAACCTCTTTGCAATGCAAATAGCTGCTTCGTCAGTCAAGCTGGCGCACAGTGGCCTCACTGTGAACATGTTTTAATTGAATGACTCCCACTCCCGAGACCTTGGTGTCTTTCATTAATCAGCTATACACACAATAAAGGTGGAGTTTAACGAGGTGAGCGTCCCGAACTCTGACACGCGGCCCAGGCAGATAAATGTGTTGCTCCACGTTTTGATAATTTGACATCCGAGGTCCGTGGTCCACACGATGTCAGTTTGTGATCATTCTGATAAGTACAAACATAGCTTATCTGATACTGAGACAAAGCCTCCCAGCGGCCGGAACAAATGACCTCCTGGGACAAGGATCATGTCGTTGGCTGGGCCCCAGATGCACACCGGGAGCTCCTAGGCCCCCAGGAGCGGGGGCTGGGCCGGCAGCCCCACTTCAGGAGGCTACACGTGAGGATCTACTTCCGGCAGAGCTATGAAACTGGAGGCTTTGGGGCTGGACCCTGAGCACTGCCATCCAAGGACGTTACTTAAATGCTCTGTGCCCCAGTCTGCTTATCAGTCAAATGGGACGGTGTTAGTGCCTGCCTCCCAGGCTGTGGTGAGTGTTGATGAGTTAACAGGCAAGCACAGCCCAGCAAGGTGGGGTGCATAGATGCTTGAAAACTGCTCAGGCTTTTATATTTGTGTGCTGCTGTGTGTCACCTGACAATACTAAGTGTCCCTACAACTTGACGTTTGTAGTGAACAAGGCTGGGTGCTCATTTGGGCAAGGGATGGGTTTCTGTTACTTTTCCTCTAAGACCTGGTGCTTAGCTTGTTGGTTAAGCACACAGAGGGCACAGGTCAGGCTGCCTGGCTTCAGCTGCCAGCTCACCTTCAGGTCAGCAGCTGACCTGCAAAGTGTGCACACAGAGCCGGAGAGCCCCAGAGGCTCAGGGAAAAGCAGGCCCAGGGAAGAACCGCTGAGTCAGTGCCACAGGAGGAGCCTGGAGGGGCTTTTGCAGCTGAGGAAAAGACCACGACCCCGGCTTGGGGGATTTACCTTGGACTGAGGGTAAAATCAAACAGACCACATTAAGAAAACAGAGAGCAAAGCCTTGCAAGTTCAAGTTCATCAGCCAGTAAGTTAATTGCCTGCCAGAACCACACTCGGCTTGCCAGGGAACTTCGACAACATATCATCCACAATGTCTAACATATGGTAAAAAGTTATTAATCACACAAAGAACCCGGGAAATGTGACACATGGTCCAGGAGAAAGCAATCAAGCAGAAATAGACTCGCGATGGTGCTGCGTTGGAAGGAGCGGAGAAGCTCTGCGAGGCAGGGACTTGGAGGTTCAGGGACTTAGAGGAAAGATGGTCAATGAATGAGCAGATGGAGAAGTGCCGCTCAGCATCAAAAACCAACCCCCAGCAGCGAACACAAGTTCTAGAATTAGAAACAAAGGTACCCAAAACTAAAAAATCTACACCATGGGTTTAACAGCAGATTGGGGATGATAGAGGAAAGGGCAGGTAAACGCAGACACAGGGACAGATTATCCAGTGGGAACAGAGACCTAGGGAGCAGAAACAAGGTGAAATATGTCTAACTGGAGGGTTAGGAAAGGAGGGAGAAGATGGGTGAAAAAATATTTGAGGCAACAATGGCCCAAACACCCCAGATTTGGTGTGAATGATGTATCTACAGATTCAAGATGCACTTGAGTCAAAAGCAGAGTAAATAGAGGCAACAGGAACGGCAGGTGCGGCGCGGTCAAACAGGCAGGAACCAAAATAAGGGAGACTCTCGGAGCCATCCCGAGAAGGGCAGAGCCCCCGGGAAGCAGGGATCCCGGCTCGGCAACTCCTCGCCACATGCAGTGGTGGCCAGAGGGCCACGCGTGACGTCTTCATGGTGCTGAAAGAAAAACATGTCAACCCCGAACTCGATGTCTAACAACAGTGTCCTTAAAAGCTAGGGACAGTGTAAAGACTTTTAAGAGAAAGAAATGAAAGCTAAGAAAATTGACTGGCAGCAAATCTGCACGGAAAGAAGTGCTAAGGGAGCTCCCTGGTGGAGAGGGCAGCCAGGCCGGCGGGAGCGTGGACAGCTGCAGGGGACCAGGGTGCTGCGGCGGTGGACATCTGGAGACCACGGAGACTGTGGCTCTTTCTCTTTTGATTTTAAAGACCAATGGCTGTTTGAGGCAAAAATAGCAACATTCAACTGTAGTTTTGATTTTAGCTGCAGAACTACGAGTTGGCAAGGGTGGCAGGGGGTTGTGCCGCTGCTGGGCATGTGGTCGGGGACAACACCGACCCCACGCGGACCGTGGAGAGCCTGGTGGGCGCAACCTAGAGCAGCCCTGTGCAATACAGTGGACACACCGCTGAAAGGACCGCGGAGGGACTGACAGGATCTACTAGGAAAATGCTGAATTGACCCGAAGGAAGGAAGGAAAGGAGACGCAGAATAAGAAAGAAATGGACAATGGAGAATAGGCAGGGAAACGGTCATAAAGATGGATGGATACAACGGAGCAAGTGCACCAATTAAGTGACACATATTGTCAGACTGAATAAGAAAAAGCAGCTTTGTAGTAATACAGAGGTGCTCGTTAAAGACACAGAGACATTGAAAATAAAAGATCATAAAATACACATAGATGTAAGCACGAGAAAGCCGGGGTGGCTACCTCCACATTAATATTGACTACAGGTAGACTTCAAGACAAGGGTCATTTCCAGGGACACTTCACAATGACAAACCAAGCAATCAGGAAAACAGTGACGAAGCGGATGCATCTCCTAAGGGCGCTTCCGCCTGGGAGAGGTCGGAAGTCCACGCAGGCAGAGGCTCTGCTCTCAAGTCCAGCAATCGCTGCTGTCAGGAGGACAGTGGCTAAGGGGTGAAACCGCAGTACACTCACTCACTCAGTTGTGGAAGGCTGTATTAGCTGAATGCCGAGAAGGAACCGCCGATACTGGGTAGTAACACGACTCAGATTACAGTGGGTGTCCTTACCACGTCCGTGCATGTTTGATCTGTCACCACCTCCCACGTGGAGCCTGACCAAGCAGACCCTGCGGAGCCCTTGTCTTTTCACATCCCTGCTCTGCTTAGCGTACCGCGAGCTGCTCCAGGTCTCCCGAGGAAAGAGCTGATGCTCGGGAGCCGCCGGAGCCCAGCAGTTTATGCCACATGAGCAACGAAGCCCAAGTGCGAATGCCTGACACATGTTATTACAGCGGGGCGGGGCGGGCTGAGGAGAGAGACTGTGGATTGGATTTTCATTGGGCTGTGCAAGGGTTTGGTGGGGGGTCTGGGTGGCACAGGAGGGTGTTTACACGGAAAACGAAGCTGCTCCTAATCGCAGGATGCTCAGCCAGGGGCGGCAACCAATGAATTGACAGAGGAGGCAATGGGGAAGTTAAAGAGAGATGTGCTTCTTGGCCTAAAAAAGTTATCTGCAGGACTTGAAAATGTGATTTGAAAGAGGGTGGAGAATCCGAGCCAGAGAAACGGAGCACGTACCTTGAAGACCATGTGCAGCATCATCTGCAGGCCGTTCTTGCCAGGGTACTTCCCAGCGATGTTGGCCGCCGACAGGTTGAAGAGGTTGGCTCCCGTTTCCGTGCAGATGGTGTGGACCAGCATTTTCTTCCCTACCCCGGACGGCCCAGCCAGCAGCAAGGACTTCACCAAGGGAGCCTTCTCATGCACGGCGGCAGACCCTGGGAAGGTGGGGGCAGAGGCTCTAAAATCCTGCTCTTTCCATCAGCTGCTGTGACTGAAAGACCTGACCAGAGCAACTGTGGAGGAGGAAAGGCTTATTTGAGGGCTCCAGGTTTCCGAGGTCTTAGTCCACAGAAGGCAGGCGCCATTCCTTAGGGCTCCAGCTGAGGCTGAACATCAAGGTGGAAGAGTGTGGTGGAGGGAAGTGGCTCACATGACGGACAGGCAGCAGACAGACTCCACTTTCCAGACACAGATACAGACTCCACAGCCACACCCTCAACGCCCCACCTCCTCCAGCCACACGCTGCCCCAATCACCACCCAGTTAATCCCACCAGTGATTAATTCACAGATTGGGTTAAGGCGCTCACAACCCACCCATTTCCCCTCTGTACCCTCTTGCATTGTCTCTCCTGTGAGCTTTGGGGGACACCTCACATCCAGACCATAACACCTGCCAAGAACACCAGTGGTCCTTCACTGAGAGCCTCAGGGCTGGCACCTCATGTGGCCCTGGTTTCTGCACCGTGATGACCATGGGAAGAAGGTGAGCCTGGGCGTGGCTCCTGCCCTGGGCTGCAGCGTCTCTGGTTTGTACACCAGAGCTGGGTCGGAGCCCTAGGGTCAGTGGTCACTCAATACCTCCTTTTCTTCCTCTCCCCCGACACCTTCCCTAACTCCCAGCGTTAAGCTGAACTCCTGGGGTAGCTTTTCTTGGATTTTTACTTTTATTTCTTTAGGGGTTCTCCACCTCCCAGCAACAGCACAAATCCCTGCAGGCTTGGGAAGGAAGGTGGGGACAGAGTCCGTGAAGTGGGCCAAGGAGGGTCCCTGGAGCCGCCTTCCTAGCATTTAGTGGTGCTGACTGTGCCTAGACCCAGGCAGGAAGTAGCCTCGGCTTCCTCCTTCTTCCCTGGCCTTTGTCCTGTTGGGCAGCACAGTCAGACTGACGCTGGGTAGTAAGTGACTTGAATTACTGTCACTATTCCAAGGTTCCTGCCTTGTGTTCTCAACCATACTGCCCATCTCTGTGGGTGGGGAGTCTCCATCACAGAGAAGGCAAGCAGAGCTCGGATCGGGCACCGGGCATAGTGAGAAAGGAATTGGACCCTGGACAGCCTTCCACACCCCGGGGCTGAATGGACAAGGAAAGCCTGGCACCCCTCCCCTGCCGGGGAAAACCGTGTGCCTTCCTCACTTCCACTACCCCATCCCTCGCTAACAAGCAAACACGCTATTCAGTGTCACCCTACAGAGGGCTGGCTCATGTGGAGGACGGTGGATATTCGTGAAAATCGTGTTTGCGTATGTTACATAATTTCCTGTACAAGAAAAAGGAAAAGGAAAAGCGTATCATAATTATACGGGCACATTAACAACTGGCCTAAAAGGGCAAAGAGCTGGCCAAGGCTGACCACGTGGTGATAGAAGTTTCCAGTACAAGGCTGACCTGAGGAGGAGGCTCCAGCCGGGGGGCCACAGTGACACAGGCCTGTGGTGAGTGATTCCAGTAGGCAAGGTGACTGGGGATGGACAGTGAGGGGGCATGAGAAGGATGCCACCAGTGGTCGGGGTCCCTGAAGGGTGGCCGGCATGGCACACTGCAGGGGCCAGGGGCTGGAAGAGGTGCAGGGGGAAGGAACAGGACCAGGACAGCACCTGGGCAGGGGCAGCCGGAGATGCCGGAGAAGGTGTGTGTGACGTGCTGGAGTCACGTTCCAGAGGAGGGTCAGGCCGACGGCCCAGAGGCGAAGAGGGTGGCTCGGGAAGGCCTCTGCACCTGGGAGCCAGGTGACCCAAGGAGGCTGAAGGTGGGCGGGTGGACCTGGGAGTCAGCAGGGCTCTCCCTGCTGCTGCTGGGGTGGCCGAGAGCCACGGGAGCTTCTGGTGGGGGAGGACTGCAGAGTGCAAGGAAGGCCAGGCTTCTGGATCCTGATCCCAGTGTTACCTCTTCCCACCCCTCACCATGTTGGAGATGCTTGCTCATCTGGAAGGCGGTCACGGAGTCCACCTGCATGGCGTGGTGGGGAGTGGCCATGGCTGAATCCCCACTGAGGACCATGCTTCTGCTCAGGAATCGTCCCCTCCGGGCCTTTTCTCCCAGGTCTTCCCGGTGGGTGTCAGGTTCTTTGACAGACACCAGGCTGTCTCTTACCTACTAAGGTGGCTTTGGAGCCTCAAACCTGTTCTTGAGAGCCCTGGATGGGGCTGTTTCCCAGTCTGGTGTGAAGAGTGGCTGTGCGGCTTCTCTGAAAGGCCACGTTTGTTAGTTGGGGCAGTGGCCACCACGAAGGACCTGAACCATCAGAGCCCAGAAAACAAGAAACCCTACATTCCTTTCTGTAACTGGATACTGTTTTGACACATGACCGTCCCCTGATACATTAGGAAGGCGAGTGGCAGCCACAGGTGTTGGGCTGTGGGGGCTGGGGGTGCTGTGGGGGCTGGGGGGGCTGTGGGGGTCTTTCTGGGTTCCTCTGGTTTGCAGACAACTCATGAAATTTAAATTAAGCACCTGAAGGCTTCTTAAACATTCCAGACATGACACGAAACCTCTGTCGGAAGAAAAGCCCCATGGGGTCTGTGCCCAGAAGGGCCGGCAGGACAGCGGGCCCTTTGATGAAGGAGCGCAGGGTGGGGGAAGTGCTTCCTGGGCACCCCTCACAGAGGCTTTCCGACAGGAAACCCCCCACAGCCCCTCACATCCACAGCCCGAGCCCTGCTGGCCCTGCGTGCTGTGGGCTGTCCACACACTGGGATGAGTGTGAGGTCCAACCTGCTATTTTACTTACATTGACCCTGTGAATATTATAGGTTGTAGACACTGAGTTGTTGCCCCCAATCCATCTACTTGCTGGGATGTGCATGTTAACATCAGCCCAGGTTCCATTTACTGTGTCTGACGTGACGTTAGAAGAGGACTTAACTATTTCTTGCCAATTGGCTTAAGCTCTTCTTTAGATCGGAGGTGCTCCAACTACTCCCATTGCAAGCAAAGGAGACAGTGAGACTTCTGTGTCACAGCTGTCCCCTGGGGCGCTGCCCCTGCTCCAGGTGGCTTGGGCACACCCGGGGTGACAGCAGCGGAGGTGGGGGAGAAGAACCTGACAGGCTGGCGCTGCCCAGGCTCCGAGGAAGCATGCCAAACTATGGCTAGCAGTGAGAGTGGACCTCGGGGGGCTGGCGCAGCCTCAGGTGAGCCCAGGGACCCAGAGGCTGCCTGTGCTCAGGAGCAGTGAAGAAGCGCACGCACAGAGGCCCATGGCCACCAGTGCTTCCTCTGATGCCACTCACTTTAACTGAGGTGCTTGCTTTAGCCATTCTCTCTCCCACTGACTGCCTGAAAGTCTCCAGCCCAGACGTGCCCTGCCTGGAGCACTTCCCCATGCTGGGGACGCACTGTCGAAGGGCAGCGAGGCTCACTCAGAAATATCAGTAGCAGAAGCAAAGCTGCAAAGAACATCCACACTGGGACCACCCGCGTGTGGAAAGGCGCAGTGGTCCTTACCCAGAGGCAAGATCCCGTAGAGCGTGATGAGCTGTCGGACGTCCAGGAGGGAAGGCATGGGCTCTATGGACACGTGGCGGAGTGTGGTCCCCAGGTAGCTGTACTCACCTGAGAGGAGAGAAATGGGGATCAGGAACAGAAGAGCGAAATAGTGGGAGAGCACTCATTCACCCTGCAGGGTGACTAGAGTGGGGCTATGGAGACTCACTGTGAAGAACACGTCTATCTAGAGGACGGTTCGAAGAGCCACCCAAGCCAGGGGACACCACCGTCCTACCTGTAATTAACTGGGAATTACATTGGTGACTACACTAACCTAATATTTAAACACATAACATTTGAATATTGGGTTCTGGGGAATGAGATAAAGTTTTCAAACGAGGGACATGCAAAGGAAGCTAAAATTCAGTGGGTTTTGCTTTATTTATATTCTAAGAGATTATATATAACGTTTGCACAAACTTAAAAAATAAATTATTTCAGACCCATGTGGAATCTGCTTTGCAGCAGTGCAAATCTGAAATCTAAAATGCAGTCATTTGAAAGGAAGGGTAGGAGTCTAATTTAGGATAAATAGAAACATCTCCTTTTGAAGGTAATATTCATTTACATTTTTATCATTTTTAAAGGGTTGCCAAAGGAATAATACAGAAATAAATCTCTACAGGTTTAATTAGAAGATATCAAAGGGCTTAATTGTAACCAGCCATAAATCTGAAGCGTTATTTTCTAACTAATTTAGATAAGGTCACCAAGAAAATTAGTTTGGCTGTCTCCATTTGTCACGAGGATGGGCCTTTATACGATCATATGATCCTCTTGATTTGTGCCTGAATTTGTAGTAAAAATATTCAATGAACGAATAGCAGTGTCTGGGATGGTTTCCTACATGAGGTTAAGGGATGCAAGAGCATACCAGCGTCTGAATCACAAAAAAGTATCAAAAGCTTATGCACTTTTGCAAATTCTAAGAACAGTAGGGTTAAAACACAGAACAGAGGGAGGCTTACAGGCCTCTGAATGAGAGAGTCCTTGGCAAGGGCAAGGTGTGGGGTGCAGGGATGAGTAATGATGAAGCCTCCACCACGGCTTCAGATGCCCACGCTCTTTAATGAGCAGGTAATAAATACCAGAGTGGTTAATTTAGCCTTCACCAGGAGAGAGGTCCCGCAGCACCCGTTCAACCCAGCCCTTATTAACAGTACACACGTCGTTAGAGAGGATAGGGAAGTGACCCTGATTCTCCTGCTATGTAAACCCATATTAATGACCACACTCACCATATTTCCAGAACCTAATGGTTTTTTTTTTTTTTTAAAGCAGATCATATAAAATTGAATTAGGGAGTGTTGGTTCTGACACAGTGAAGGTGCCAATCGCCCAGGCGGTTTGCCAAGCTAGGAGGCTCCATCTACTCGGAAAGCACATACTAGCCATCCTCTCTCCAGCTGACTGCCTGAAAGTCCTCAGCCCAGACCCAAAGACGGCAGACGTGCCCTCGCTGGAGCCCTTCCCCATGCTGGGGACGCCGAAGGAATAATACAGAAATAAATCTCCACAGGTTTAATTAGAAGATATGGAAGGGCTTAATTGTAACCAGCCATGTGTTTGGTGATTGCCCAGTGGGGGATCCGTAATCTTTTCTCCCACCCACTCCAGAGCTCAGAAAGTTCTGGATTCCCTGCACAGGTACCAGACCTTCCACAAGGGAGGAAAGAGAAAAACAGCAGAAGAGGTGTTTGAGACAGAGGATGTGAGAAAGGGCCCAGACGCCCAAGACAGGGGAGAAACGGACCCTGCCTTGGGCTGAGCCCTGGCCCTGGACAGTTTCTGCACACAGAACCGCAGTATGCAACCTTGTGGAAACAGGGGCCTGGCCCATGGGCTCATCAGGGTGGACCCTAAATCCTATAGGACTGGAGTCCTCACAAAAAGGTGAAACTGGACGTGAACGGAGGCACAAAAGGAGAACACCACGCCCAGAGGAGGGCAGAGACAGATGGGCGATGCCGCTTCACACCAACGAGCCCCAGAGACGCCACAGCTACCTGCGCAGGGCAGAGGCTGGACAGGTCACCCACCTACACCCTCACACTGGCCTCCAGGACCTGAGGCCACCAGCTGGCATTCCTCAAGCCAGCCACGACCTGCCAAGGTGATTCTGCACATCGTCCCTGATGAGCACACAGTAAAGAGAATCAGGGTGGAAGAGCCCAGTAAAGAGAAACAAAAATACCCACAGAATGAAAATGAATCAGCCCCACATGTTCCCATTGTCCCTAACAGTGTAAGAAAGAAGGAAATGGAACAATCTATTCAACAATGCTGGGTCTTTAAACAAGCCCCTCCGACATGGGTGAGCGGACACGGGAGGCTCCCTGGAACAGGCTGCTCCTTGGCTGGGAGCCTCTGAGAGGCACTCGGGACTTGCTGAGTGGTGATCCCCAGCCTGATCCAGCCCGTCCTGCATGCCAGAACCCTCGGTAGCTCTAGGGACCAGGCAGAGCTAGAGAGAGCCCAGGTGAGCCGTCTCCTGCGCAGAGCTTCCCGGCGACGATGAGGACCACATCACGCGTCTCAGAGACTCGGTGCTCCTGTGTCCTTTCTGCTGCAGCGGCTCTGCCAAGCCTGCCTGGGAGCTGCCTGGGATGTTCTTCTTGTGCACAGGACCTGAGCCAGAACCCCCAGGGATGGGCGCTTGGGAACCCGCTGAGTCTTCCGACCTTCAGGGCAGGGGATGGACTTCAGGGCGAATGTGGGAAACACTAACTGGGCTCAGTTTCAACCAAACGCAGCTGTCTCTGAAGCCTGGTGCTGATGGGATCATCTAGGGGAAAACCCTTCTCTGTCTCTCCTCAGCCAGTGGCCAGCCTTCTCTGTGCGTTGTGCTTTGTGACGTGGATGGTTGGGAGGCACATGTGGGGCGCCACAGAGCCAATTCCTTCTTCACAGGAGTGCACTGAGCCGACGGGGGACTGGAGACAGCAGGAGGGGTGTCGGCGGCTGGCCAGGGTGTCTCTGCTGCCACATGCTCAGAACTCATAGAGATTTTCCCAGGCGGTGGCAGCCATCACCCCACCCTACAGGAGTGGCACAGGAAGCTCTGGGGGAGGCAAGGTGGAGCCTGGGGAGAAACCCAGTCTGGCCAGGGTCCAGCAGTGGGCATCCAGCCTGCATTCTGGTGGCCTAGGAGGTCCTCATGGGCACTAATGTCCAGAATATCTCTGTAGCACTCTGGTCCCACTGGGAACTGGGAAGCCTTGCTGGTCCCTAGGGGTGGGATGGGGCTCCTGAGAAGGACTTGGCAGTTTGGGGGTTGTGAGGAAATGTGCTGTTTCTGGCACACCTCAGAGTGGGCTTCCTGGGCATGGGGCCAGCGTATGGAGATGGACACCGGACAGTGTAGAGTGAGGCCTGGGAGGGGTGCGGACTGGTGAGCTGGGGAGGCGAGGGGCGGGGAGGAAGGGCTAGGTTTGCAGGCCCACCCACCCGTCTCTGGTTCTGTCCTCTCCTTTTCAATCTCTTGCAGCCAGATCTGCTGTGAAGGGGATGGTGACAGGGATCTGAGTGGTGCTGGGAGTGGGGCGGGACTACAAATCCTGACTCCCAAAGTGACTCCCAGCCCTGTGGAGCATGGCTGGACATCTGGTCTGGACTGCTGGAAAAGCCCAGGTCTGCCTGTCTGTCCTGCCTGGAGGAACAGCCAGGAGGCACAGCCTGTAGGGTGCCCTCCTGACACCGTGTAGGGCTCTGAGCACGCAGCTCTGCAGAGAACAGGTTGCTCCGGAACCAGCCAGGCCGCGCCTCTGTGTGCCGGTGTCACAGAGAAACCGAGAAGTTCAATCAAAATCAGGGCATCGGACTGAGGAGAGGTGCCTGCAATCATTTGGTTCCAGTTCCCCTTACGTGGGAAGTCTGTCCGGCCTGGCTGGCGAAGGAAGCTCCAGGCACGAACTGCTCTGTTCCCAAATCAGAAAGACATTGGGGAGCCAGTGACCAATGAGCAAAGGAGTGTCCAGACTTCAAGTCCTTCTCCAGACCCGAGGGCGTGGCGTGAAGGACACTGAGCTCCACTTAAGGAACAAAAGCCAAAAGCCACCAAAGACAGAGAGGTTCAGCTGGGGCTGTCCCAGGATCAGAGGCTTTCCCATCCTGACAGCCCCAGCAGAATGGCAGCTGGGTCTGCAGGCCCGTCAGGCTGGGTTCCACCCTGGGGGAGGCTGCGGGTTCATGTGGGAGGACGTCAGGGGGTTGCCCTCAGCAGAGCTTAGCAGCCTCCCATGCTTGGACTCCCGGGGTAGCAGCACAGCGATGCCCTGACTCCCTTTGACCTTGGCGGTTAGCTGGAATGGTTTTGAAAAGGAAGACACCCCTCACCTGCTGCTGGGGTACCCGGTGGTGAGGACATACAGAGCAAATGCTTGGATCTTTCTAATTGCCAGTTTGTAAGACAATAAACTGGCCTCTGGTTGTACTCTGTGAAGATGACAATTAGGGCTTTTTTAATGTTGTTAAGAATTTTTGAATAAAAATATGTCTTATGGATTTCAATACATCGTATTTCTTATCCTCACTGAGCTCAGTACGGCCCCCTTTGGCCTGAGGAGCTCCCTCAACTTGTATCCTGTTTCCTTCAACTTTTGTCAGCTTGTCTCTTCATAAACGAGTTTCTTCAACCTGTTTTCTGCCGTGAGCCCGGTCATCTCTGACAGCTTCGTCACCATGTGGCAGGAGGTATCTCGGGCTCCTCTCTGTGTCCCCTGCCCTGTCTGGCACTGGCCATTTCTCCAAGAAGTGCTGGCTTCTTCAGTGGGAAATGGAGTGTTAAGGACACAACCCGAAGGCCAGGGGCTTTTGTGGCTACAGGTTGGTCCTGCCTGGACCAAGAGCCAGGAGGCCATTCTTTCTAGGTGTTTTGACTGGACAGAGCTGGGAAGCCCATGCACCTTGGTGTTCATCATGGTCGCCCTACCTTAAAAGTATCCATCTTAAAATCTTAGAATCTTAAAAGTATCCATCAGTTCCTGGGAATTGGGCCTCTGTGCTTTAACAGTGTGAGATAGAAATACCCCGTGGGTTGGAAGTGGATTTCCAGTTTCCCCAATTCCCTCTACATAACACATACACCCCACTCTCAGTCTTCAAGACATGGGGGTGGGTGGCAGGCCCCACAACTTCTCAGTTGCCTACCCCATGCTGCACCACCCCCATAGACACCCACTCTCATGCCAACCAGTACTGCCCAGGATACTGAAGGCGCTAAGCCCTTGTGTGTACCAGCTCTTCCTCCCCGGTTTCTGTGGCTGTGTGACCCACTGTCAGAGCAGACGGCTCTCTGCACTCACACTCTGCCTGGTGGCCCTGTTTGGTCTCAGGTTCAAAAGTGAGTATGCCCTGCAGGTTGCCACCAGCCCTGGTGTCAGATCTCTCTCCTCCGTTTCCACTGAGGTAGCTCCTTCCTAGTAGATTCCTCAAGATGGGCACATGGGCAAAATACACTGAGTTCTTGCCTAGTTAGGAGCTTGTGTCCTGTGTATGTGGACATGAGTTTGGGTGAGTTCAAAATCCTCGAATCTTATTTACTGTGCTTGACTATCTCAAAGATGTGGCTTCATCTGCTTCTGATATAAAGTGCTGCTGTTCATCTAATTTCCTTTCCCTTATGGGCCACTGATTCCCAAGGCACTTTTAGAGAATGTGCTTGGTGTTGGTGAAACTGAGTCCCTGCTCCCAGATGCAGTGTGGTCTTTCCTGATGTGGCTTTCACGTCTTTTTTTAAAGAAAGTCTCATGAGTTTGGTTCCGTAGTGTTCTGCTGCTCCCCTTTGGCTCTTCTTCAGGGACATTTTTGTATGTTGGACCTTCTTTGTCTGTTTTCAGTATTTGACAGGTTCTTCTGAATTTTTAAAAATCTCTATTCATTTCTAATTTTACCTTAAAAATTTCTGTCTTTTACCTTTTCTCTCTCTTAAAGCATTGTTCTTTATGAGCTCTTGTATCTAAATCAGTTTTTTCCTAAAATATTTTTTCCTTTATTAATACTATTTCTTGAGTTTTACCACCTCATTCCTGAGTTTTTCTAATTCTACCTCATGCTGTTCTTACATGTCTTCTATAATTTTAATGCATATCATTAGCTTCTGCTCTATGGCAATGTCTTTCTGAGATATTTTTCCTCATTTTTCTTAGGATAATTTTATGTGGGCTCTGACCTTGAAGTTTTCTGTTGCTAAAATCTATGTGAGTTAACTGTCTGTTTTTCTAGAAGATGTGGCTCAGGATGGCTTTTCTAGTTTTGCAAATCTTCCTCTCCTGCTGATCATGTATGTGGAAACACGGGGCCTGTTCTAAGTCAGCCTCTGCCTCCGGTCCCCTCTCCCAATGCTTTTGTTCTTCTGTTTCATCTTTATTTTCCCTGTTCTGCTCAGTTTTGGTTCTACTCCCAAGAGGTTCCTGGGTTTGGAGCCCCGTCTAAGAAGGGCACAGCGGAGGTCACTCCCAGAGTTTGTCAGTGTGGACTGCTTCGGCCCCGGCCCTTTGCACTGATCTGCCATGGGCACGCCTCTCTGTTTCAGTTCAGTTCTTGCCCAGCCCACGGCACCTTTCAGTGAGTGCTGGCTGGTTACTTTGAGGCTCTGCTGTTCTCAGGTCCTTCAGTGTCCCCAAGGCTTGTACTTTGAGGCTCAAGAGTAAATATTTTTTTAAAAAAATATTTATTTATTTATTTTTAGTTTTCGGTGGACACAACATCTTTCTTTTATTTTTATGTGATGCTGAGGATCGAACCCAGCGCCCCACGCATGCCAGGTGAGTGCACTACCGCTTGAGCCACCTCTCCAGCCGTTAAGAGTAAATCTTGTCATTTAGTTTTGGAGTAAGGGAGGCCTGAGGGTTTTTGGTACCTAGTTGCTCTATTAGAGTGAACAATGACACAGATTATACTACGCTGATCACAGAGAGACTTCGTGCGTCTACACTGACACCACCACAATTCAGAAAGGTTCCATACTTTCTTACAGAAGAATGGTTTCTTTCAGTGTAGGAGGAGTGATGGGAAAAGAACCCCACTTTACCACCATCACAGTGAGACTGCCGCAGACAAAAGTCACCAGTGGATGCCACAAGTGTTTGCGAGAGGCAGCTGGGGTCGGCATCTCCAGAGCCCCAAGCACCACCCCATATTATTCTGTAATTACAAAGAGGAAGATAGCTTCCCAGTGGAGAAGTCTGGGGACAGCACTTTCACCATGTGGTTCAACTTGATGTCACTAGCGATGGGACAGAGTTGTACCCTGTGTCCAGTGGGAAACACTGAGAAGGACACTGCATCTTCAAAAGTTTTCCTGTGAAAAACGTGAACCTAAATCAAATGATGGGGAAACCATCAAAGCAGCTCAGCAGAGGAACAGCCTGCAAAGTGGCTCAGAGTCCCAAGAACTGCGGGCTGAGCCGGGCGGAAAAGGCCAGGAAACATCTAGAGGGAAGGGTCGCAGGAGCACCAAGAGATGGGCAGTCACCCAGTCGTGGAGGACATTACCAGGCCCGGGGAAACTGAGCTGCACGTATATGTTGGGCGGCAGTCTACGCCCCTGTGGTGACATGGGACAACACCCCCGCTCACTGGAGGGACTTTCTCCAGGAGAAGGTAATGTTGGCATTAGGATGGTGAAGTTACGGGGCATCTTAAGCTTTGTGTTTCCAGGTTATAAAAGACCAACAGAAAACCATTAGTTGAAGGCTGTGATAGCCCCTGTCCGCACGCTCCTCCTTTTCTCTACCTCCCTGTCCTCCCTGGAAGCTCCCTCGGGTGGAATTCCTGCTGGGAGGGTGTGGACTGTGGAAGCACCAGGCTGCCCCAGGGCATTCTGCTTGGTCAGGAAGCACACACACTTCATTTCCTCCTCAGGTTATGCCAGAAAGAACGTGCCAAGGAGCTCGGCAGGCAGGATACAAAGTCCCGCTGTTGCCATGTCAGGGGCAGCACTGGACCGGGGTCAGTTCACGGCACCCCCTTAGGTTATTCCCATCACTCAGTCTGACAAATGTCTGCCAAAGGCTACCATGGCGGGGTTTGTTTGGACAAAGACTAAGATGAAACATATTTCCCACTGTTGGACCTCAGGGTTGCTCTTGGGGCACTTTACCAATGTAATCAGAGAGGTTGACTTTCTGAGCCTGGATCAGCAGGCCTTCCTCCACCAGCTCCTTGAACAGAGACTCGATGGTCCTGGGGACAAAGCAGAGCATCTACATCAGCAGCCCACACAGGGGGTCAGCAGTATTTCTGTCAATCAGCACATGAGCCAAGAACTTCGACCACATCTATTCAAAGTACATCTGCATGTATGCAAATGAATGGACTTTTGAGGTGTTTCTACAATTTGGGGGGTAAATTAGGCCTTTAAAAATAGAGCTTTCACTCATCCATGTGCGTATCGGGTGTTTTCCATCAATAAGGATTATATCTCGGGGTAGCTGAGGCCAGCCGGGTGGCCACCAGTCTTCGTGATAGCACAAATGTGAATTAGAAATCACCCAATGCTAGCAACGTGCTATTCAGTCAGCACCTGCCCGCGGTGGGAAATCATCAACGCTTGGTGAAATTTGTGTTTCCTATTAACCTGACAGTATGATGGTTTGAAAGAAATCAGTACAGGAGCGAGGCCTCTGCTGGAGATCTCTCCTACACGGAAGGTGAAGTGTAAGGCTGCGTGGGGAACGGCTTCTAGCAGGCTGCGGACATTTCTGCAGTGTTTAAGGTGCCAAAATGACTTCTCAAAGAGGGGCCTGGCACAGAGCCAGCACACTGTGATTCATGCCACCCAACAAAAATGGACGCAGGGTCCCACTTAATGGCCGCCACCCCCAGCGATGTCAGGTGGGGTTTGTGGGAATTCCGATAGTCAGCTCAAATATGGTTCAGCATGGGCGGCACGATGCTTCCTCTTCTTTTCCTTCCACCCCACCTGTCTTTCTATTATAAATAAATTATAAATAAAGCTATTGTCCAGCAGTTCTCCCACTGTTCTGTGATCCAAGGGACAAAAGAGACTCAGGAAGGTCAGTGCTGTTGGGACCCGTGTGACCTCCAGTCTTCAACATATTTAAAAATAGCTCACCCTCTGCTGAAAATTAGGAAAGGGCTAAAGGTAATGGAATTGGGGGTAGCGGTACCTAATCTACATCAACGAGATACCCACTGCAGTGTTTTAGCTTGAATTCTTACTTACTCTAGGCACATACCATAGGCGTTGTTATGGTTTAGATACGAGGTGTCCCCAAAAAGCTTGTGTGAGAAAGTGCAAGGACGTTTGGGGTGAAGCGATTGGTTATGGTGCACTCATCTCCTGTAGGGGTTAACTGGGTGGTGGCTGTAGGCAGGTGGGGTATGGCACCCAAAAAAGAGCCCCCTACGTCCACTGTGAGCAAAACACCTAGCAGGCAAGGGATCCCTTCAGAAGGTCCCCGACACCCTCCTGTTAGGGTACTTCCTCCCTAACATGTGACCCCTCGTGCTCTTTATTTTCAATGCTGTAGCACTTGAGAGCCATTTCAGCTTTAAAACCTCAGCATTTAAAGCCATCCTTCACTAGGAATCGGAACAGTGAAACTCGAGGAATGGAGCACCCTCTTTGGCAGACTCCGTCTCCCCTTGGTCTCCCCGCAACAAGCTGGAGGGAGCCCAGCAGGGGCGGCCAGGCCCGGGGAGGACTGAGACTCTCTCTACCCTGGCGTGTCCTCTGGAGGTTCCTCGGGTTGTTATTTCCTGAACAATTTTTAAAGAACACCCCCCTCCCCAGCATGAATCTTAACACTTCAAAACGCCACGTGAGCTCGATGCCACGGCACCCAGGTCCGCCTCTGGGCGTCCTCGTGCTGTGCACCTTCCAACCTGGGATCTGTTGGGCTGCAGGAGGCTCCCCCAGATCTGCTCATTCCACGACACTGCCGAGGAACAGAGGGGCGCCCTCCCGCTGCTCAGGGCTCCTGGCCCCCTCTCTGCCACCATTCTCCTCACCTGTCGGCCGTCAGGTCCTTGTCCTTCTTCCCCCTCTTCCCTCGTTTCCCTTTCTTCCCTTTGTTTTTCTGTAAGGAAATGGAAGTGACCATCCACTTAGCAGAGATCAGCTGAGCAGACGGTTCCTTGGGGTCGTGGGTGGGGAGGATGCGCTCGGGATGCGCTCGCGTTACATTGATGGCAGGGCTGCCCTGTTTCCAGAGGGGAGGGAGTGGCCTGGGGAATCCCCGTGGCCCCGCAGATGTGGTCCCTATGGACAGAAGGTGGGTCTCTCTGTGAAACTGCACAGGGCCAAATTCCAAATCAGCCCCAGCGGTCCGTCCTGTCCTCTGAGCTCTGGCACAGATAAGCTGGGCACAGGCAGAGAACTGGGCTGTGCTTGTCTCTGAATCTACCATGGTCTAGCTGGCCCTGGGGTGACCGTCCTGCAAGGTAGGGCCTTTGGAAGACAATCAGGTTAAGAGGGCTCCAACCTCATGATCAGGGTTAGTGTCTAGTGGAAGAGGACAGAGAGAGCTGTCACCTCTTCTGCCACGGAGACTCACAGCTAATAGGGCCATCTCAGAAGCCGAGAGCCTCCCCTATGGAGTCTGCAGCCTCCAGAGTTCATGGCAATAAACTTCTCTTGTTTTATCGATCACCCGGTCTGGGGCACTTTGTCCTAGCAGCCCAGATGGACCAGGGCGATGCCCCGTCACCTCTCTGTCAGCAACCGGCCCAACCTGGGAGCCCTCAGGGCCAGGCAATTGTCCAGCTCCTGTCCCCAAGGAACCTGGCTTTGGGATCCTTGTGACAGCCTGGAGGGACAGGCTCCCAGTGCAGCCTCTCGGTGGTACTGGTCCCTTCAGAGTTCTATTTACAATATCCCTCCGAAGCTCCCCACGGCCCACAGGATGAGCTGGACTTCTAAGGCACTGTGTGCAAAGGCACTCCAGCACTGGGCTTCCTTTCTTGTCACCTTCTAGCCCAGGTCCCCTCAAGCGAGCATGTTTCCCAGACATGACAGACGCCAGGCACTATCGTACCCCTGGGTGCTCTGCATTCCACCCCTCCTGTGGGTTCCCCATTCCCTCTTTTTTATTGCTTGGTCTGATTTTGCATTGAGCTCTTACATATAACCTCCACACATTTCAAAATACACAACATCTTCGTCACCTCTGTCCTGGCTGAGTCACCACAGGCTCTTGGAGGTGGGATTGTGCCACACACTGGCTTCTTTCAAACTCTATCACAACATGGAGCTTCATGGTCATGACCGCACAGCTGCGCTTCTGTCATGGTCTCTGGTTTTTCAGAATCTTCTTTCCAGGTAACAGCAGAGCCACCCATAGAAGGCTCCCGTGGTCCTTCCCGGGTTCCTGCAGTAGCCGTGTCTTGCAGAACTGCCTCACAGGATCCCGGCCAGGTCGTCAACACCCACAGTCAAGTGCACTACATTTCCACGAGGACACGGCGGGCACGGTCCCTCAGGGGCCCTTTGCTGCCCCCTTGCCTTCCAAGACGCCCCACTGTTAACCCTGGAAGCCAATCGCCAGCTCTCCATCCTATCAATCCTCTTCATCTGTCAAGAGTGCTATTCCATTGCAGGCTGACCTTAGGAGGTCGGCGCTTGCTTCACACATTCGTGCGCTTTGACGTAGGATGGCGTTAACTGCCACGTCTTCTAGAGAACCGACCTCTCTGGTCTCTGTGGCTGCTTTTGACTCAGGGTCTGCTCTGCAGAAGTGAAGCCTCTTCTTGCTTTTGGTGGGGACTCGCATGAGGTCCTCCCCAGCCTTCCACACACAGCCTCTACGTGTCCTTGAGTCTAAAAGGAGCCATCTGTGGGCAGCACACAGCTGGTTCTTGTTTCAAAACAGATTTTCAGTCCCTCTGTATTTTTTGATCAGTGAGTTTAATCCATATGCACTTACATTATTGACAGATAAGGACTTGCTATTGCTTTAACTGTTTTCTGTTTCTTTTGTGGTTCGCTGTTGCTGCTCTCCTTGGTGAGCTGGTGATTTTCTGTAGTGATACACTCTGGATCTTTCCTGGGCTAGGCCTGTGGGTCGGCCTGCGGTGCTGGGTCCAGGTGCACAAATCTGTGGTGGCGTCAGGAGCTCCCCTCTCACCCACCCCACAGGGAGGCCCCGCAGGCCAAGTGGGCCTCCGTGATGCGACCCGTGGGCTTGGGAAGGGCAAGGACAGGACCTGGACAACATGAAACGTTTCTTCTTACTCCCTCCAGAGTGTTGCTCGTTTCTGCACCTCACCCAGGTGCTGCATCCTCTCACCTGGATTCCAGGCTCCTATGAGGATCCACCTGCCTGTGGGTGGTTGATCAATCGGTGTTTCTTGGGGGAGTGAGGATGGACTCCTTTTCTGCCATTTTGCTGATCCTATCCTTGTTTAAATGTGGCAAGTTTTATCTATATATCCAAGCCCTCGGGAGGAGAGCCAAACCTGCCAGGAACTCCAGGCTGCTCTAGGAACTTCTGTGTCCTTAGGTTTTTGTGATTAGAACAAGTCGGGGACTTGAGGTCTCTCTCTCCTGCAAGAGGCAGGACCTCACCCCGGGACGTCAGGGCGGAGGACAGCTCACCCAAGGAACATCGCTGTCCCGTAGCCAGAATCTTGCTTTTGGCAGGACAGATCTCAGTCTTGCTGTCTTTCGTATTCCCTGTGCACCCGGCCTCGGTGCTCAATAGACACTAACTGAATGAAATAAAAAGACGTTCTGCCCCCCGGGGTGTGATTCCGGATCTCCAAATCACCAGAGGGTGGAACAGACCACAATCAAAGCTGATTAATTTGTGATGGGAAATATGATTGTCGAGAGAAGCAGGCTGGGGACTCGCCCTCCTTAAGAGAATGACATGGCAGTGCAGCCACTCATCAGGAGTTGAGTTCCAGGCAGGAGAGGAGGTGGTGGGATGCTCCTGAGGCCACAGTGACACCCGAGACGCCCCCTAGTCTACAGGGATCAATCTGCGTAGGATCCAGATGTAACACATAGTTTATTCAGTAAGACACACTGAGGACTCACTGGGTGCCAGGGGAGCAGAAGACAGACGCGCAGCCTGCACTCGGGCCCTTCAGGGGAGTTGGAGACAGTGAGGGACTCTGGACTCTGGATAGACTCTGGTCAAGCCACTCTTCCTGGAAAGTGCTGGGTGACTACCAACAGATTCAGCCCCTCGGATTCCTCCTGCTTCGTCTCTTCTGTGGCTCGTGGTCTTCCCACGGAGGAATACACAGTGCCCAGTGAACGTCCGGCTTATGGAATTAAATCCCAGTCCGTCACATCCCAGGGTTCACCCCTGGGTCACCTGGACTGGAGTTTTGGGTATGCAACGCTCTGTGGTTCCACAATTGCAGTCCACCTCTTGGAGCACCCTGATATCCTTTGTGACGGCACAATCCCTGGCATCGTGGCGAGGGCAGCCAGCCTGCAGGAGATGAGAAGGTGGCTGCCCGGAGAGCGAGTGGGCCTGGTCTGATCTGGGGTGAGGTAGGCAGTGAGGTGGTTGGTGACAGGGGAAAGCTGATCCCAGCCAGGGGGGTCCAGTTTCACGTCTGGTTTTGTTCAGTTGAATTTCCACATCCAGTCATTAAAACAGCCTTGACTGCAGATCTGAGAGACATGCATGGAGCTGAGGGGTAGGAACAGATGCCCTCACTAGGGAGTGAGGACCTCATGGGGCCACAGTGTGCGGGGAGCTCAGTTGCCCTCAGAGTTGAACTGTGAAACCAGGATAATATGGGCTAGGAGCGTCATCCCGGGCCACGGGCCCCTGGGCTGGGAAAGCCAGACGTGAGTGTGGAGAACCCCAGAGGGACTGTGTCTGTCCCTCGGCCACAGACCCTGGGGAAGTGTCAGAGGCTCAGCTGCCGTGCTCATGCCCATGCCCCAGGGTGACATCTTGGCCTTCTGCCTTGGGTATTCTGGCCCCGGTGGCAGGACTGTCTCTAACTCCCCTGAAGGGCCGAATGCAGGCTGCGTGTCTGTCCTCTGCTCCCCGTCTCTGAAGGTGAAGCAGGGGACCAAGTACATGAACTTTGGATATTCTAGTCCAGGTGGCTGCTCCATACCAGGGGAGACAGGGTCGGGGAAACTTAAGGGCCAACTCACCCGATTCCTTCTGTTCTGACCTCCCCACCCCCCACAAGCCTGGTCGTTGCCACTGGCCATCTTTAAAGATCTACCTCCAGGGGGAGAGGAGGCAGGGGCACTTGGGCATGAGCTCTGGCTCCTCTGGTAGTTCTCATCCTGCCCATGGGGCTTGGGCATCTGATGCTGCCCCTGCTGAGGGGTCGAGGAAGTTACTGTCAGAGGACAGAGTGGAGCCTGTGTATGAGTCCCCTCAGAGGGCCAAGAGGCCGACCCACTGAGCTTAACAAAGGAAGGCGTGCTGCCCCTCGAGGTCCTGGGGACAGCCACCTGGTCTGCTAGGTGGCCCACCCGGGCGCCCCACTGTGCAGGCAGGGCCTCCATCCTGTCACTGAACGAGCCACCTCCCCCCCGCTGCCCCACATCCTCACACTCACCTTCTTCCCTTTCTTTCCCGCTCTGACCGGAAGCTCGATTTCCTTGTTCACTGCTAGTTTTAGGTTTTTTAGCTCCTGTCGCATCAACTCATCAACCTGCGGGAAGATGAAACACCACTTCTCAGTGACCTTGCATGCCTGGTGGTTTTCTTGGTGAAATTCAAAAACTGCTTCTAATCTGAAGGGTGGTCACGAGCAGGCAGTGCCAAGAAGCCGAGTCACTGAGCGGTGACAGGTGTGCTGTACCTGCACCCTGATCTCCGCCTCCACTTCCTTTCGTTTCTCCTTCTTGATCAGCTCTTCGTCATAGTCTTGAGGGAAATTCTGAGATTCATCTTTATTCATCCACGTGTCTATACCGAGAAGGGCAAGGGAGAGAGAACGAGAGGACGTCAGCACGCGGGCCTCAGGAAGCTGCTGTTAGGACCAACACAAGCCTCCCTTTCATCCTCTTGTCGGGGGAGCGTGAATAAAACAGGCCAGAGAGGACGGACTTACGGGCACGCTAATGTAATACCTTGACAAAGAGGAGAACTGCTAATGGGAAACAGGCAGATGGTACCCCGTCCCGTGACTCAGACCAGTAAAACAGCATGCGCAGTGGGACCAGACAATGACAGGCTCTATTTCTGTGATGTGTTCTATCACTTTATTATTCACTGAAGTGTGAGAGTTGTGGCTGCTGCACTTGCCCACCGTTGACCCCTCCCTGTGATTGACCCTTCCCTGATACTTGCAAACAGGCCAAGCCCACGAGTGCTGCTTTCTCCTAACCAACAGTATATTTTTTGAATTACTTTTTGAATGTTTTGGAAATCACACATTTTGAACTTCCCTCTTGCCTTCCCCTGGTGGTTCAGGAGTTGGATCCAGAGAAATGTGACCCAAGAGAAAACAAGGATGACCTATATCACTCAGAGAAGCAGGGGACGGCGGGAGCAGAGCCTGTCTGGGTCACTCAAGGTCCAGAAGGGTCCTCGCAGGCTCTGCTTACCTACCTCCCACCAAAAAGAAAAATGATGGAACTGGGCCAGGCAGGGCTGTGAGAGGTGCCAGCTGATGGCCGTCTCTGCCACCCAGATGCGAGGCTGAGCCTTGTGGGACCCAAGGTTGCAGGGGTGGGATTTTTGAAGATGATGCTGTTAAAAGGCCCCAGATTTCTTCTAGAATAGAATGCCTAGTGTGGCCTTGGAATGAACAGACAAGAAATAAACCACACAGAGGGTAGAATTTTCACAGCAGTTCCCCGTACAGAAGCCACATGAGAGGTGGCCGGGTGACAGGGGCACAAGCAGATGAGAATGCTGGGGTGGGGAGAGGGATGGGTCCTGCCTCCGTGGGTCTGCAGTCCTCTGAGGGTGACCGCAGGGGGAGGGTGAAGTTCAAGAGGCCGTAACCCAGACCAGGGAGGTGACCAGCTTGGAACTGAGGTGTGAAGTCCAAAGGGGAGAGGACCCGGAAGGGCGGCTGGAGGGGAGTGGGCCTGCAGGAGATGGCTGGAGGCCTGGGCTCAAGTTCTGTTCTCGTAAATAATCCTCCCTGCGAGCCAGCCAGAGACCCGTGAGAAAAGTTTCGTGTAAATTGTCCACAACACTCTGTTGGCGTCGTTAAAGAGAAGCAGGTGACGGCGGGAAGCTTCTTCTTCACCGTGAATCCCCCCAGAATGTGCACTACGGTTAGCTTGCAAGATCCCCCATGGCTGCCCTGGCTGATGGTGCCCTCATCTGAAGGCAGGTGCTGCCATTAGTGCATTTTCTGAAACGTACATGAGCTTAAACTACGGAATGCTTTAAACTGTAGGAATAACAGATGCTTCCTTTATGGGTTGAAAATCATAACCTTTCCCCTCAAAAACACTAGGAAAGGCTTCAATGTGTTGGAATGCGCCATTTACTAGTAATAGCTTTTTCAAGCAGGTTCCCCTGGAGGATTGCTAAGTCTTCACCAACAGCAAAACCCACCTGTCACATTAAGGTATTTTAAAGCAAAACGGCTTTGTAATTTACAGGGAGCTGCTTTTCTTTTTCATTGGATACACTAAAATCTGGGAACGACTGATCCAACAATAAAAGGAGCGCAGAATACATATCAGAAAGGGAGCACGGCTTGGTTATTTATGTACAAACAGTTGCAAGTAACACATTCTCTGGCCCGAGTTGCAGAGATGTTTTAAAATGAAGCACCGCGCACAGGCTTTTCCTATTTCCCCCTAGATGGTCTCAACGGGTTGAGTTTTCCACCGAAACTTTGCTTTTCTCATGACACTTTTGCACAGGGCACTTTTCAATCCCTTTAAGAATTTCATGGGCATTTATAATTGCAGGAAGCTGAGCATGACCCTCAAGGGCAGCAACTGCCCCAACTGGCTTTTATCCCAAGAATGTGAAAAGCAGGCCAGGGCTGGTTCACACGTAGGGGAGAGTGGCCCAGGAGGGGCCCAGGGGGGTTAATCTGAGTGATTAAAATGCTAATGTCTTATTTGAAAAGGAAAACCTTTGATTGTAAAGAAAAGAATTCTAAGATGAAGAGATTTGATTTCTTCAAGTTACCAAAGACCTGGCAGATAGCACATTCCTGGCACCGTCCAGCACGGAGGGCACTGCAGGCCCTTCTGGAGGGACGCTGCTCGGTTTCTCAGCCTTCGAGGAAACAGACATGACACAAAAGGCGGGGACAGCTCGAGAGCTCTCCTGTGTGGCTTAGCAGGTTGCAAGGCTGAGCTTCCCATGGGAATGTTAGATTTTCCCCAAATTAATTTTTGCGTTTTGTCAAAGGGATGTGTGCACATTGTTACAGAATCAGAGTAGCAGAGGACGATCAGAACACTGTCCCGCCTGTCTACCTCGGTCACACTGTCTATGACATTCATTCCCATGTTCATTCTTTCACTCAAGAACAGGTGGAATGAGTCCAGTTGTTAAACTGGGACTTTGCTGAGTGCTGCTATGGCCGGGTGCTGCTCTCAGAGCAGGTAGAAGGTCCTGTCCCAGGGACTCAGCACCCGGCTGCAGGAAGCCTCAGGATGGACCCTGGCACTAACTTCAAGGCTGGTAGGGAGAGCCAGGCAGGGTGAGCTGCCCACGGGTGGCTCCTTTCACATGGGCTGCAGGGCAGTGGGGACAGAGTACAAGGACCTGGCAGTGGGGACAGAGTACAAGGACCTGGCAGTGGGGAGAGCCAGGCACCTGGAGGAAGTGCGGGGCCCAGCAGCAGGTGAGCGCCCAGCTCCCCAGGAGCCTTCCGCGGTCCTCAGGTCCTGGGTCCTCCTAATGTCCACAAGGTGTGCTTCCAGGCTCCCTCCTGACTTGCCCAAGTGGGAGCGGAGGCCTGTGCGCTACCTGTCTTCCTCTTGCCCTCGTTTTCTCCAAGTTACGTAGGAGAAGGGAGCTGGGCCTTCCACAGCCTGAGTGTGAGTGCAGCTGCAGACACAGGGGCCCCTGCAGCTCCCAGGGGAGCTCCTCTGGGCCTCCTGAGGACGGGCTCCCCAAAATGAGGGAGTGACAAGAAAGTGGGACAGCAGCAGGATGTCCCCAATGTCAAGGGAAGGCCAAGGCCAAGGACGACACTGCCCGGCAGCTCCCAGGGGAGGGCTGCAGAGCACACCACGAGGGACCCTCTGGAAGGCTGGGAGGTCCTGCACCAGAGTGCGACACCAAGGGGGGCTGTCCTCAGGGGCAAAGGCAGCCGTGTGCAAAGCAGCGTTTTAATAACATTGTTGCTCTTGTTACTGACACACCTGAGGGCCCTCAGCTAGGCCTGTGACCCTGCAGCGCCCTCGCTAGCCAGACCTGCCGGATGTCACTGACGTCATCCTCGCCAACACCAATGGCCCTGCTCACGCCACCTCCCAGCCCATCCACGGCTGCAGCCACAACACTGCAGCAGCTGTGCGGGGTCACCTTCCCACCTCAGGCTGGTTCACACTGACAGGTTGAAGCCACCCTGTCAGCGTTGGCTGAGTGGCCATGTGAGGAGGCCACGTGAGTGCTAGCTGCCGCCTGCTCCGCGCTGCTGCGGGTTAAAGAGCTGACGAGCCTCAGCCCTGGATGGCCGGTGGCCTCCCCGCCGCCTCTCGACAGGGACAGCAATGTGTCTGGGCACTCAGTCAACGTTAGCTGACTCTCTTTGACCTCCTTCCTCCCTGTGAGAGCAGGTGCCATGTCCTGTGGACGTCACAGTGCCCTGTGGCTCTACCTCAGTTGGCACTGGGTGAAATGCTGGGCCCTTCTTGGCACTCGGGGTCTGTCAGAGGATTGAGGTGGCACAGGGACATGGTCATCTCATAAAGCTATCATGGGAAACCTAAAACTATGTTGACGTTGTCCCTCAGGATGAGACACACTTTACTGAGATGAAAACCTTGAATCAACTTTAAAACAAATAGGTCTATGTCAGTGGCAGTACCAGCGCTGTCCAGATAAGTCAGAATTGGGAAGGAAGCATGTGACGGACTGAGGTTTGGGAAGATTCTTATTGCATTTTTCAGGAATTTCCACAATAGTACTAATGACCAGGGTCATTTTGACAGGTCACTCTGCATTGGGCTTTATCCTGAGGGTGGAGGAGCACTAGAGGAACTGGATCAGAGTTCTAGCAAATTAAAATAGAAAGGTCTGGAAGACCAATTCATACTCGGATCGTGCCAGATTCTGGCCGTGCGAGTCCTGTTGAACAGCTGTTGGGAGGACTCGGGGACGGCCCTGCTCTAACGGGACCCCGCATCCCGTGTGCCCGTGGTGTGGATTTCCTCCATGAGAACAATCTAGGGAATACTTCTCCTCCCTCCACCAAGCAGGAGAACAGTCAGGTGAAGAATGAAGGCCCAAAAAATAGGACAGAAGTTCTGAACATGTTCTTGTCCTGCGTGTGTCTCACTCAGCCACCAAGTACATGCCTTTAAGCCACCAGAAGGAACGGGTGACCGACAGGGAACCCTGGTGGCTTGCAGCTGGCTGCCTCTCTTGGTTGTGCCCTTGGGTGCCCGGTGGCCAGGAGCACTCTCCAGACTGACCTTTGTACACGTCACTCCCTTCCTTCATGGAGGGGAGGAAGGCGCTCCTTGACATCTTCCACTCCTCCTCTTCTTCCTGTTCAGAGCAGAACAACGTCCTTGTTAACCGCAGGCTGAAGGTCAGCTAGTAAGAGGTGCATATGTGGTGGTGCCGGACAGTGGTTTGTCATGACGGTCCCGCTGGGTCACCAGGGGGCTCTGCTCCTGGCCACCATGAGCAAGGATTGCTGTGTCCACCAACAGGGCACGGATGGCCGGCTCAGCGAGATGTCCCCTGCCTGTTCTGCTTTCCCTCCTCAGGGTCTCCCAGGGGGACACAGCCCATGGTTTGGTCCTGTCTTATAATGACCTGGGGCCTTCCGTGGCAGAAGGCGGAATCCTTCCCCATCCCTTCCAGAGTTTCCACAACCTGGCTGGGAGCTGTCCCCATCCTGCGCTCCACAGTGTCACTTACCAGTCCTGGGCTTCCACAGGGACAAGAACTGCTCCTTCCTCTTGCTCACCTGAACCTGGAAACCAGTCCTGGGCAGCAACCTGCTGCCAGGGGCCCAGCGTCCTTCCTAGAGCCGGGTCCTACTGGCCTCTGCAGCCGGGGCAGAGAGCACCTGGCCTCGCCCTCCTTGGCTCCTGCTGCTGAGTGCGCTGAGAGGGGGATGGTAACTACCCCCACCTGCATGGGCAGCGCTCTGCTCCTAGCCCCAGGTTCCCAGTCGTCTCTGTCCCTGGGCCTCCAGGCCCATCACCTCCCAGCTGGGAGAGCCACAGGATAACGTCTGTACCACCCCAGGAGTCATGTTCCCCTGACCGTCACCCTCAGAAAGGGCAAAAGGGACACGCTGGTCTTTACCATGTCTGTGAGGAGCTTCGCGCTGCACTCCCCGCCTTTAGAGGAGCTGAGGATGCGGCAACGTGAGACGGTGCCACCGACTGCTGTGAGCACTGCGGCTCAGGGCACCCGACAGCCCTTCCAGGGTCAGGTTCTGGGTGCAGCCCCCGATCACCCACGGTGCGCCCACATGCCCTGGGCTGCGCAGCGCCTGCTGGGGACCCTGGCTTTCCCCTTCTCCTTCATCCTGTAGCCAAGCAGGCAGCAGACCCCGCCTGCTCTGCCTCCTACACTTTCTGGGGAACTCTCCCCTCTGCTTGGGCCCCTTGCTCCCAACGGCCACTCAGGACCACCCTCTGTCCTGCCAGAGGGTCGGGAGGGCAGATCCAACCTGATGGCTTCCTTCCTTTGAAGCCCCACAGTGACACCCCTGTGAGAGCTCCTCAGGGCCTTGGTCCCCACAGGACAGAGTCCAAGCCCTCCAGCAGGCCCAGCCAGCGCTCCCAGGAGTGGCACCCAGACCAGGTCCCGCCTGCTCCTGCCACCTGCACACGAGTCACCTCCCACCTGACAAAGCTGCAGCCACACCCAGAAGGCCACAGGGAAGGCGCAATGGCAGCTCTTTTCTGCTTCCTGCTCCTTCCTCCTGCTGCCCCTCTGCCTGAAGGCTGCCCTCCTCGAAGGCTTTCTGATGACCTTGGACTTGGCAGGACTTCTCTCCCCCAGCCATCCTCTTCCATGGCTGCCTGGCCCCCGGGGGCCAGCTTCCCCATCTGCACACTGGCCGGGCCTTGCCCACCCATCTGTGTCCTTCCTGTGATCACCTTCCATTCCCACCAGACAGAGGGCCCTGGGCGCAGCGAGGCCTCATCAGCCCCGGGGTCTTGCACCTCTACCTGTCTGCAATGGGCATTGGAAGAACAGTTGTTGGCTTAGAGGAGAACCGCAGCGTACATGTCCCATCCTTAGAGAAATGGGTAAATGTGGAATGTCCATACAACAGAGTGGACACTCCCGTGGAAGGACGGAGGCACTGACACACTGTAACAGGACAAACCCTGAAGGCATCATGGGGAGTGAAGCCAGACACCGGGAAAGGGTCTGGCACCTTGGTCAGAGTTTCCTAACACATTAGAAGAAGACACAACTGTGAAATGGAGGGACCACCGGGTTCATCGCCACCTCCCACCTGCTAAGGAGGCCAGCATGGCTTCGGGCCAGTGGCATTGAACTGAGCACACACCGACTGTTAGCTGGACAGGTGTGGCCATGGTGGGCCACGTGTGAGGGAATGGCCTTGGGCTTCCTGGAGTGGGTTCCAATCCAGAGCTTGCGGTGCCCGCTCCCTGGGGAATGTGATTCCCACCCCAATCCACACTAGGTCCTGTCAGCTATCTCTGAAGCAAACACAGCTCTGGTCAAGGGAGGGGCCAGCCCAGATACCTCCAATGGCTCCCTGTGGTCCGCCTTGATCAAACACCTGCCCCATGGCATGGTCAGTGTCCAGCTGGCCTTCACAGTTTCTGGGTCCCTGATACCCATCTGTGCTGAGCGCCCTGGACTCTGACCAACCTCTGACCCAGGTAGCTCAGCTCTGCTTGGCTGAGGGGTCCATTGGTCTATCCAACAGGTATTACCAGGCTGCAGGTATGGACCTGCTCTGGCTTTCCTGGAGCTTTTAGGGAGGACAGGGAGACATTCGAAATGGGAGAGCCCAAGGGCTACACAGTGGAGGTCCAGGGCACGTCTGGGGCTCACAGGACCCTGGACCCCAGCTTATACGACATGCAGGGTGCTGAGGCTGGTGGGAAGCCACCTGCCCTGAAGCACTGGGCCCAGAAATACTAGGGGCTCAAACCTGTGAGGCCACTAGCCACCTTCCAGGGCCCCCTGAAACCAATGGCCTCGGATTAAGAAGCCCATCTAGGACACAAGCTTGGGGTCAGCCACTCGGGGCTGCCAGGACACAGTCTGGAAAGCCAAACCTGCCTGGGAAGCAGACACAGCAGCACGGGGCAAGGAGGAACCTGGTGGAGACGGATCACAGACCGAGAAGCGAAGTCTCTGGGGTGGGTGTCCCGGGGCGTTATTTATTACCTGGCTCTCTCTCGTCCCGTCTCCTGTCTCCCTTCTCTCTCTAGTGCTCGCTAAGGACCCATGGATCTGAACACTCTTCAGTCGACATTCGTTTTCAACACTCATACGGTCCCTGCTGGCCTCTGGGAGCCCCTACAGGAGGGGAGGCTGGGCCATCATGGATAGATGAAGAGGAGGAAGAGGAGGAGGAGGACTTCAGGGAAGGGAGCGTGTGGCTGGACAGCGTTTCCAGCAGAGGCAACGGGGCACGTGGACTTGAGCTTTGTTTGGGCGACTGGAAGAGGTTCAGCACACGTGGGCTGGGCGGGTGGACATGAGTGGGGGCAGGGAAAGAAGAGGGGGACAGACTGGCGAGGCAGAGAGAGGGAGCAGACAGAGGCGCTGGGCCTTGGAGGGACCTGGAGCCACGCTCCTCAAGCTGGGACCTGGTATGAGGCAGGGCTGTACGGCAGGATTGGCCACGGGGACACCACCCTGGTGGGGTGGGGAGCTGGAGCAGAGGCACGGGAGGGTGCCCACCTTCTCTCTGGCCAGAATTCCCTTCTTCTGGGCGCCTGTTTCTTGGTGGAGACGCATTGGCCACTTGTGAGCAGGTTCTCACGGCTCTCCGGGGCTGAGACCCCTCCTGGTGGGAACTCCACCCGTCCCGAGGACGTCTCCTGCTCTGTGTAGAACTAGCACAGTGCCTTGCATGGAACGGGCGTGTCAGGCGTGTTCATAAAAACATAACTCTACAACTTCATTCCTATGATAACTACCAAGTTCTCCAGGGAAATAAGCACCGTCAGGCCTGTTTTGGAAACTTCTGATCCTGACGGTTTGGAATAGCGAATGCTAAACATTCCCAGGACTTAACGCAGCTCAGCTTTCCATTGGTGATGACGTAATTGGCAGTTACACGAGGTGCGTCAACCAGAGGAGAAAGAGCAGTGGAAGTCTCTGCTTTCCCTGTCACACGTGTTTCTGTTGGGTTGCTGTTTTAAACAGGTTATATGTTGCCCGTTTTGACGGTTGCCGGCAGAGAAGACTCCATGAGGAGGTTTGAAGCCACCATCCCAATTCCAAAGTCATTTTCCCCTTTGAATCTTTTCTTGGGACAGAGACAGATCAGTACACGGGTCACTTTGTCCCAGTGCTGCCCTTTCTGATGGAAACGTCTTGGCCATTACCCCCATGGTTCTCAGCTGGACCAAGTGGCCAGAAACTGTTCCGAGCAGAGGGAAGCCCTGTTCGAGGAGCCCAGCAGGCAGGCGGTCACCAGTCACGGGGCAGGGAACCACAGGAGCACTGGCCAGCTGGGAGTGTGACAGGGAGGACCTCTGAAGTTGTCAGGGGAGATGGACAAAGAATCAAGCTTGTGGATCTGGGTCCTGAGGGTGCCCCAGCCCAGTGTGTCCACCTTCTCAGCTGTGAACCTGAGCCTAGACACACTCCTGCCCTCTGTTCACTCAGAACTGTCCACATGCCACTGGGGGCCCTCTGTGTACAGACACCAGCCAGGGACAGCCAGAGAGTTAGGGGCCACCTTGCAGCAGCTCCCCCACATCCTCCTGCTGGCTCAGGTACAACCATGTCAGACATTTTGCAAAGAGTGCTTATTAACTGCACAAGAACACCATCCCAAGGCCGTATAAAATTTAAAATCCAGAGGAAAAACTCAGCCCCTCACGGTCACCTTTAAGCTAGGACTCTCCCTCTTCCTCTTTGCTTGCTAGGACACATGCCACGTCTGTTAATATCAGTGTCACTGCAGGGACTTACAAGTTTGGCCAGACGACGAGGTGGAACGCGGTGTTTCCTTGGGGGGTATTTCCTCATGTGTGGCTGAACGCCGCTGCCATTCTGTTTGGGGTTTGTTTCCTGACTTTCTGACCTCGCCTTGGTTTCAGGGAAATGTGTCTGAGCCTGTCTGCTCACTGCACACGCTTGGTGAGCACTGGCTGGGGGGGGGGGCACAGGAGTGTGTCCTTCCGCTCCGCCTCCAGGGCCTGCCTCACACCACGGTCCTCTGCCCATGGTGCCTGCCAGAGTCACCTCTAACCCGTTGGTTCCTGGGCCCTGGGCGCTCCTGTGGCATCACACACATTTCCCCATGGACGCGGGGGTGCCTTCCCTGTCCAGGCCACCTGGTGCAGCCAGGCCTCTGCGCTCTG